AATCTTTGTCAAGTAAGTCTAACATCTTTGTCATCGCAGTGTTGGCATCCATCAAATGTTTTTTCTCAGGCAGCTTGAGGTTTCTAGTTCTTGGTATATGGTAGAATTTTTTTTTTTTTTCATCAAATCCTGGACATTTTGTGTATTATATTATGAGATCATCTCATGTTTAAATTTGTTTCAGATGACTTACCTCAATTCTAATCTAGCAAGAAAGAGAGATGGAAAGAACAAAAAAAACAAACACAGGTTCCTCATTTGACCTCCATTGATACCCAATTGGCAGGATGTCCTTCATTAATGCAGCTCCAAATAATACCTCCCTGGCTGGTGAGGTCAGAGTATCTTGTCATTGCTCTCAACATGGCCTCCATAGACACTGCAGGGGGTAAAAGTGGCCTTGTTATCAATGGTGAAAACACTGACTCTCTACTGGGACACCATCCCAATGGGAAGGTGGAGGAGTGTGCCATTATTGATGAGGGAACACATAAGTCCAGCTCCTTGTCTAGGCTCTACTCTTACTACAGATTTGAGAGGTCTTCAGTATCACCTGGCAGGGATAAAAGTCTTGGCTCCCTAGTCTATTTTCTCTGATACCACTTGTGGGGAGAGGGTTATGGTTTCTCCTTACTGACTAACAAACGCGGAAGTCTAAGCTGCCCACTCAACCTTTGCTGTTGGGAATGGGAGTAGGAAGATAGATATTTCTATAGTGTTTGTCTGGAGTAGAGTGATCTGAAAGTTTTATGTCTTGCTTAGGCTGCCTCCTTGCTACTCCTTTGGCTCAAAAGATTAAGGGTTTGTATTTATTTATGATTGCATTTGTTGTCATTTCTAGGTTTTCAGCTTCTTCAGCAACAAATACAGGATAAATAGGAAAAAATAAAACCCAGGGTCTCACTGCCATGGTTTTCATTGACTCCAAAGATCCCTAAAGACTATTTTCCTTCTTCTCTCCATATTTTGGTCTTCTTATATATGTCTTAGACACAATGCCTAAGTTATTTCGTTATACTTGAAGAAGGAATAAGGAAAAGTATGTCATCACCATAGTCCTGAAAGCAGAACTCAACCGTTTGAAGGATTTTAAGCAACAAAGTTCGATGTCAGACTGTGCATTTTGGAAAGATAACAAACTGTACTTGAGGAGAGCTAGGAAACTGGAATGGAGGTAGAGATGGCCTAGGAGGTAGTGACATTAAAGGCAGGGGAATTTTTTAGTAAATGTTCTAGATCAATTATCTGATGATAATCTAAAATATGCTTCTGTAACACACAGGCACAAATCACATCCAATTCCCAAATATAGGAAGGACATCAGTCAACATGACAGACATACTTGTGCATATCAGCTGATATCAGCCTTGAATATAAGGCAGGAGGGGTTGGGAAAAAAAGAGAACACTTTTGATGGGTATTAAAATGTAGATTCAACAGAATATAATGACAAATAGAGTATAATATATTAAGATAATCAAGATAGAATCACTACAAGTTTCTTATTTTTGAGGACTGAGTGGATGTAAGTAGCATCAACAAAACTACAGAATACATAACAAGAATCATGTTTTGCAGGGAACAGTGGTGACAGGGAGCTCATAAGCATAAGCATAAGATGAGGACAGACCTTCTGAAGCTATCTAACAACAAGGTGATGCTCAGCAAGATGGTCAGACATAGGGAATGAGGAGCCTTGGTTTTATTAGTAATACTCAAATCCAACTGCATGGAGATAACAAGGACATACAGGCAGATGGAGAAAAGGAGACTAAAAACAAGACTCTAATAAACCAATGTTTAGGATCAAGGTAAGAGAATCCAAGACAGCATAAGAAGGATGAGCTACTCTTTCAAAAAGTTAGGAAAATTGGAGTTCAGTTTGGTTCTGTAAGTATTTGTTGAGTGCTTAGTGTGTGCTGTGTACTGTGCTAAGGGACTGGTCTTTGAGGCTTTCACATTCGACGAGGTAATTTCAGTACAATGTGGTCAGCTCAGTGACAGAATGTACTCAATGGAATGGGACACTAAGTACAGCCAAAGACTGTGAGAGGAACCTTTGGAGAGATGTCAACTTATAAGCGGAGTCTTCAAGGTTAGTAGGAATTAACCAGATGGAAAAAAAAAGGAGGGAAAGTCATTCCAGGCAACAGAAACAGCATAAACAATAGCAAAAGGGCATGGAGCACAGGAGAGGAGGGAGAATTCCATGCAAGGAGCTGTCAGGTTTGGTCCTTCTGAGAGGAAAATAAAATCAGATCCAAGAGGCCCTTTGACTTATGAAGTCACTGTTGGCTTCTGCTTTAGCAGCTTCTGTGAAGTGATGTGGAGAGAAATTGGACTACCGTGGGATGAGGAGTAGCTGGAAGAATACGTTCAGACAGTGTGGGTACAGTGCTTTTTCAAAGACTGTAGTAGAGAAGAAAATGAAGATGGGCTAGCTAGAAGTGGAAAAAGGTCTAACAGGGTTGGTTTTGTGATTACAGAGAATTGAGTATGTTTATAAGTCGTAGGAAAGAAACCAGGGTGCTGAGAGAAAAGTTTAAAAGTGTAGCTTACTTCATTCACTCTTCTGCAAAACAAATGTTTAGGGAGCATCCATATTATTCTTGAGCACATCATTTTGCATAAAGACAAACAGCCAAGTCCCTTTTATGGTGTTAAGATTATGTTTTAAATAAACTTAGGAAATAGCAAAAGGCCTATGATAAATGCTCAGTGGTGTGTACTTCAGTTTCAAAGGCAGCTTAATACTTATAAATATAATGACACCATTTGCTGTCACATGTATGTTAGCACTATCACAATTTGTAAGTATTGTGTTGAAGTTCTTTTACTTCACAGGAAATGATTATTTCAATAAAAATACTTATTCTTTGCAAGGACTTCTATATGGAACAGATTTGTCAATATTATTTTGTTTTAAGTATTACAAACACCACACTACATATTAAGACTACAAAGTAAAAAGGTATAATACAAAGATGTAGAGTACTATGAAGTGGTTTAATGTGTCATATTCTGACTTAGTATCTCCCACCATTTAGAGACAGAAAATCAGTCAGGTCAAGTAAAAATAAAGGAACATCGATGTCTTCAAGTGATGATTGGAAGAATTCCACAAAGAAAAAGAATAGTCTCGAATTTTTTTCAGAATCTTTAAGTTTCAGGATTTTAAGGTGGTAAAGAACCTTGACATAATCTAATACTAGTATCCACACCCCACATATAAAATTCCCTTCTCCACATTCCTTGACTGATATTGAGAGACTTTAAATGAAAGAGAACCTTTTACTTGAGAAGTTGCCTATTCTACTACTGGACAGTTAAATTTATCTAATTATTCCCAAAATATTGGTCTCTGTACTCTGCATTGCTACACTATTTTCTTTATATATAGAAATACTTTTTTTCAAAACTAATTTTTCTTTATTGATTTTAGAGAGAGAAGAAGGGAGAGAAGAGAGATAGAAACATTGATGAGAGAGAACATAAATTGGCTGCCTCCTGCATGCCCCCCACTGGGGATGGAGATGGGGTCCACAACCTGGGCATGTGCCCTGACTGGAAATTGAACAGGCAACCTCTTGGTGCATGGGTCAATGCTCAACCACTGAGCCACACTAGCTAGGCTATACATAATTCTTTAAATAGTAAAAGGTACTGGACATCTATGCACACTAAATATATTGTTTTTGAAACTAGCCTTTCACAATCCTTCATTCCTTTCTCATGACATTATTTTCATCATAGCCCTCTTCTTCCAGATGTGTTCTAAGTTAGTTACTCTTCCTCCTCCCCATTAAACTGAACACAAATTTCCAAATGTGAAAGAATAAAATAAGATTATAACACTGTATATGGTTGGGTTTTCTTTTCTTTCTTTCTGTTTTTTTTTTTTTTTTTTTTAAGAAACTTACCACCTGCTTATGTTCGCCCTATGAACAACTGGAACACACAGGGACTTAACCACATAGAGTGCAACCAACTCAAGTGTCCCATACTTCACTCCTGCAATTATTTTTAATATAAAAATAAGACTAAAGATGTCCATACTTTCCCATCTTGTGCTTTTTGTACCAGAAGTCCAATTTTATCTTCAACACTGATTTAATAAACTATCATTTTGCTGTTCCTCTAAAATTTTGGCCTCCTACAGCCCTGACAAGTATGTGTTTCAAGTATTCATAAAAAGCACTGGAAAAATTAAACAGAATGAACATGTGAGCAAAATTTTCTGGTGTCCACACAGAAATCTTATTCCTGGGTGACATTAACCCATGCAACAGAATCTTAAAGCTGTTATTTATTTAGCTATTAATCTGGTCAGCTTATAATTCTCTTCCTTATACATAAAGCTGTAATCAGAAACCACCAAAAATATCTAGCTAAAATCAAGACACTTGGAAACCCATTAATACCATAAGAACAAAATGGTGAATCTATATTGTTTGTTTTATGATAACTATTTTCTCTACTAGGATTCTAAAATCAGTATCAGTATAACATTTTGTAGAAATCTGTTAGGGATAGACATCAAGCTTTTTTAAAAAAAATTTTTTTTCTTTATTGATTTTTAGAGAGAGGGAGAGATAGAAACATTGATGAGAGAGAATATCGATTGGCTGCCTCCTGCATGTCCCTCACTGAGATTGGGCCACAGCCTGGGCATGTGCCCTGACCAGGAATTGAACCGCGACTTCTTGGTGCAAGGGTCAATGCTCAACCACTGAGCCACACTGGCCGGGCGACATCAAGCTTTTAATGTATGTTTTTCAGAATACAATTTTCATGGCATTGTTCAACATATTTAATTAGCTGACCGTTATTTTCTATATATTCCTTTCTCTTTTGGAATCATATTTGTAACTGGAAGAAGAAGATATAAAAATGTCCCCTGCCCCCATTCTAATTTTTCTATTCTTACTTAGAACTACTTCTCAAAAATATTTTAGTAAAATAAATGTTATATACATGTTGTATTAATTATATTTTATTACCTCATATAAAACTGTTGGGTTCCCATGAATAAGAGGTCCATAGCAGATATAGGAATGTCCAACAACCCAGCCTAAGTCAGAAGCTGCCCACCACACCTAAAAAATAGGCAAATAATAAAATGCATATATTGTAAACAGAGAAATCTCATGTAAAGTGAATTTAAAACCATGATTACCTCTCCAGGTTTAAGTCCATATATAGAAGACATTGTCCAGTTCAGCATCACAGCATACCCCCCAGTGGGCCTAACCACACCCTAAAGGAGAAAAAAAGAAAAGCTAGAATCAACATCATGTTAAAAGATTCTCTATTATCTACCTAAAAAATGTTTCTGGTTAAAATATCTTATATTTTATAAGCTACAAATCATTTTGACTTTTATATAATTGTATCTGAATCATTATTTCTTTGACTCCTCCAATAATAAACACAGAATAAATTTTCCACATGAGTCCACTTGTAGAATCCATTCTCACAGACCATTCCCGACCTTCTAAAGAAAACTTACAATTTCACAGAATCACATGCAATAAAAATGTGTTCCAGTGGTCACATAAATTAACATTACATTTTCAGAAATATTCCCATAACAAAAATGCAAACTCAAAATTAAGTGCACAGAAAGATCAAAGGTAGCTGTGTGTCTAAAATACAGATGAACATAAGATTGTTTATTCCCCAACAGCATTAAATTTTAGGATGCTTAGGAGAAACAAAGCCACTTTCTAACGGGGGGCCTCATTGTAATGCCGTACTGAGGGCCATGCTAGTATAAGGTCTGAGCTGAACAGTTCTTTAATGGTGAATTCTGGAACTCTGGGGAATCAATTCTGATGAGCTGGATCTAAGGCTGACAGATTTCCCTTATATTACATTTGGGACGAAAGTAGGGATTGTTACATTGTTCTACTACAACTTTCATGAATCAGTTCCTACAATATTGAACATATTCAACTTTCATGCAGAGTCATACTTGAAAACTGGGCATAAGGGTCATGATAAATAAGAACTGATGGTAAATTTAATAATTTTGTTTATTGCTTCACTATAAACATTAATCATCATTGGCTAAAAACATTTGAAGTGAGTATTTAGAGCAGGAAAGTAAATCCTTGCTAAGAAACATTTAGTATTTCACTTAGATGTATTTTGAAGCATTTGTTTGTTTGTTTCGTAATATGCACCAGAGGAATTTTTTCCATTGATATTTAAATGGAGTAGAACGGAGGGAGGGAGAGAGAAAGAGAGAAGCATCGATGTGAGAGAAACACACCAACTGCTTGTCTCCCTTATGACCCTGATCAGGGCAGGTGATAGAACCTGCAACCCAAGTACATGCCCTTGACTGGGAATCAAACCCACAACCCTTCCATCCTAGGTGCCCATGCTCTAACCTCTGAGAAAACTGGCCAGGGCTTGAAGCGTTTTTTAGTAAAGCAGTAAAATTACTCTGTGTAGGAAATACTTTACCCAAAGGGCAAATGTGGTCCTAGTGAATAAATGTGCTGCTAGTTGTACCTCTGTAACACACATACATAAGTTAGTGGAAATAAAAAGAAATTGACTTTCTTTCAGTTACTAAAATTTCTACTCTCCTCAGGTACCACTAATAAAACATAGGTATCAAGCTGTGGAACACATTTTATCTACCAGCAGCAACACCTGGTCTCTTAGCAAATATCACTGCCTTGGCATTTGACAGCTACTCTCTCGGTTGTATGACATAGTTAGCATGCAGCTGGCTCTCTTGATTACCTCGGGAGCACGAGAAACCCGGAGCACCTTCCCCTGCAAACCAGGCAGCTCTTTCATGTACTTTGCTAATTTCTTTGTCCGATTGAGAGGGTCATTTCCTATGGTTTAATACCTTGTTGAATTAGATATCAATCAATTTGCAAATATTCTTTTCTAAAAAATTTTTATTTGTTTTGTAGAAAAAAAGTGGATTTTTTTGTCATAGAAAATATGCTATCCATATATGATGGTAGGCAGAGATAATGTCAGTAATGATTTCACTCAAGATGTTTTAGAATTTTCTCTCCACCCCCTGTCCCTGCATTTAGAGCTCATTTTTATCAATTAGTCTAAATATTATCATAACCGGGTTAAATTTTAGATTATGTAGCATGGAGGGTGAAGTAAATCAACTGGACATGATTAAAAGGGAATTAAAGGCTTGGGAGAACATAAATAAGTAGTAGTTCATTTGGAAAACTTGGAAGATAATTTAAAGGGTAGGTTACCAAATTTCTATTTACCTCTCAAGTGAACACTTCTTTAAAGTATATTTACCAGTGCTGCTCTGCCAGTAAAATAGAAGATAGTTAAATGTACGTGATCCCCAAAAAGTAAGGCTTAAAAATGAGACCATGCATGGAAACACATTTAAAATTATCAAGGCTAAACTTTTAAACTTTAGTAACAAAATTATTTCCTTAGACTTAGCAATTATTGATTTTTATTTTTCCCATGCTAATATCACACAAGAGGCAGAAGTGTCAAAATAACTAAGATTATCATCAAAAACAATTAATATGGAGCTAAAGGAGAGGGAAAATTTGTATTGGTTTTTATTGGTCTTTAATGCCCACTTAATTTTTTCTTTAAAAGATGAATGTAAAAATTTCCATCTAGCATCATTTAACAATTTATTAATTTAGACTCTAGATCTGAAATTTGGTTTTGCCTCCAAAATATTCAGGTAATAGTTTCAATTTTCTGAGTATTTGATATGGTACAGAAAAAATAACTTCATCATTTCATATTTTCCATGTAGATCTTTTACAAGTTTAAAAGTTAAAAAAAATTAAAAAATCATGTTAAAATGAGTTTATTATAATATTGATATTAATATGCGACTAATAATAAAGCATTTTTGGGTTTATAATTCTATTTTCCAGGTAATGCTACTTAAAATACAAAAGAGAACGCTTGTTCAGCCTCTGAAAACAGATAAGTCATGCTTTAAATAAATCATTATATTCTAAGTACACCCAATTAATCAGAAACTAAAAATGGTATCTTAAAACATATTTGAAACTTGAGGATGAGATAAAAATACTTATTTAATATCAATGCTTAACCCTAAAACACAAGTTGGCTGCATTTTACCCTTGTGAATCTGTTATTACTTTTTTTATGTACTTAAGCTCTATTTACCTCAAAATTAAAGACAGTCGATGACCTAATATATTCTCAGAAAAGCCCTGCCACCTGCCAATATACTGCTTTGGTTTTTGTGGAATCACCATTATACTTAAAGTCTTCTGGAGAACTTGGAAGACAGCCAGGTGGGAATAGCACTTTGTTCCACAAATAAAGACACAAATATGAGTTCGACCTCAGAAACGGGAAAGCAAACAATGTGAAGGTTCTCTTTAAAGAAGAAAAGAACAAAACCATAAACCCCACTTTTAACATACAAGGGTATTTTCAAAAATTCAGTCCGCACAAATAAAATGAAAGGCTGATCATTAATTGCCCAGGGACAGGACCAGAGAGATGTCACAGATGGCTCTTTATGATATCCAGCTTAATGAGCTGTCTTTGAGACGAGAACAGCCACAAAACATTGCAAATGGGGCCGCTAAAGTGAAACTGAAAACAAGTCAGCGTCAAGTGCCATGTACAGTTTTGGTTGCCACAACTTAAGAGAAATACGGTAGAACACTATGAACAATACCAGTCATAAGGAAAGAGAAAGAGAGACTGAGGTGTGTAATAAGAATAAGAGCTTGGAATACTTCACTCTAAAAATGTTTTTAATTGTTCTATAAAAATATGAAAGAAAAATCTCGAATTACTCAGGTAACAGAAGTTTGGAATCTGTGGTGAAACTCTATGCTTCCTAAATTGAGCTCCTCAGTCATCCAAGTCTTACACAAGACTTACACAAGACTTACACAAGACAAATGCACATATTCACACACATAAGATCTATATTTATTCCCACACATATAAATGTAAATACGTTTATCGGTCTACATGTATTGTGTGTTTATATGTATTTCATACACAGTATATAAATTTCAGCCTGACAAGTTGAGAAAAAAATAAAGCAAGAAGAAAGAATAAATATTTTGCCTGAAGAAAAATAACAATGCACTAAACAATGGTTGAAGTCAGTGCGTTGAGAAGTAAAATGTATGGTTCTGGTAACTTAAACAATCTAACACATCAACAATATTCTTGTCTTAGGAGGGCTTGACGGACGATAGTCTCTCTTCCTGGAATGAGTCCCCACCCTCACCCCTTTCTGAGCTTGGTTAGCTCCTATTTCTTTGCAGAAATACTTCAAGACCTTATGAAAGTATCACCTCTGCGGGATGCGGCCAGGATCCCACAGCAAACGTGTCCCGCCCGCTCCCCAGGGCCCAGGGCCTGCACACCTCCTCCGAGCACCCACAACCCAGCCTAGGGAGTTCTTCATCATTGGGGTGTTGTGAGGACAATGCCTCTGTCTCCTCAGCACAGTGACTGGCATAGGACAATATTTTAATACATTTGTTGACAGAGTAGATGACTAAACAGTTAACTAAGCCCATGTATGAAAAATATTCTTCTTACAAATGCTCTTCTTTGTTCAGGAGAAACCTTAGAAACTTGTAGAACTTAGTGAATCATATCAGTAGAAATGGAATGGTTCCACTTAGGATATTTCATCAAATGTAACATCTCCAGCTACAAGCTCTGATGCTACCTCTGTGGGGGAACTTCAGCAACAGTATACACGTTCACTGATCTGGACAACCGTGAGGTCATCGCAAAGGCGGAACAAGGCCAGCATTTTAACTGCAGTAACTGGAACACAGATAAAAACGTTCATTGCTTTTTAATTTGACTTTTTCTTTTTTTCCCTTTGGGTAGGGACTATGAGTAAGTCACCTGACATGCAGGAATAAAAGTGACATGATGTGTGTAAATGGGTAAGGCAAAAGGCCTTTCCTACACCTCCCTGTCATTTGGGAAGGGGGGTCACTATCCCCCATGGTAACAAACAGGAAGATAAATGTGACCGTCACTAACTCTCCCACTCCCCAAAGGGCACCCCATCCAGATGAAGGGTTATTCTGTTATGAAGTGCTTTGAAGGATCTTAAATGCTGGCACCCAAACCAAGCAGGACAGAGGCCCACAACAGGGCCTAAATGTATGCAAAGCCGCTCAGCTGCGGTTGCTGGAATACTTGCAGCAACTAACAGATTAACCTGTCATACAGCAACCCGACAAATCCAGGGTTGGCAGATGCCGAGATGCAAATTTGCCCTAAATATAGCTGCAAATTCTAACCAAAGAACAGACTGTCTTATGCGTGTCTTACACGTGCCTATAAGAAATGAGCATTTTTAAGCAGAATATTTTTATAGGCTAACATTATTTTCCCTCATGAAGAAGATTAAAGATTGAGAAAAGGAACTATATGATGACATAAAGTTTTTATTTCAATGCTGCATAAACAAACGTGGCCTCATCTTCCCTGTACTTCTATTCTGGGAATCCCAATATTGAGTTTTCAGATCCCATTGATCCTGATTATACCTACCAAAATTGAAGTGAGCATTTTATGAATAAAGAGGATGCTGGGAGCTAAATGGAGAAGTAAGAGATCATTTAACAAATATTCTGAGGCTTTTCCATGGCCCAACTTTAAGGTTAGTGACGTAGTGGATTTAAAGATACAGTATGGGAACATATTGTAAGACCTCAGAGAACATGCAATGTTAAGAAGATAGTAAATAAAAACGTATATGTATAAGGTAGAACAAAATAAGTGTCATAAAGGTTTTTGACAATGTATAATTTCAAGGCACTTGAGATTCTAAAGTCCACTAAAGAGACGAGGGAAGTATTTCTGAGGGATGGTGAGAGACGATTATTTTCTCTTGCCATTCTACATATCCAACTTTGCAAAATCTACCTATTTCCATGTTTTAAACACCAGACCTCACAATAATGACCCACAAGGGTCTATCTACAAACCCAGATGTACTCCTTGAATCCAGATCTTCACCTCCAATTACTGACTAGGCATCTCCATGTTAATGTCCCAAAGATATATCACACTCAGTGTGTTCAAAAGTTCTCAGTTTCCCCAGCACTAAACCTTCCTACTGTGCTTCTTTTTCAGTCAGTGTTCAAATGTTCTCCCACGTTCTCAGGTTCAAAGTCTTGGACTCCTCCTCTGCCTCACTCTTATCCTTGAGCCAAATTTGATTCCTCCCTATTAAGTGTGCTAAGTTCTAAACCAATTAAACAACCTGAAGCATTCTTGCCTCCGTAGTTTATACATGCTTACATTCCAAATAAAATGTTGCAAGTGTTACCTTCCTTAAATTTTTTTCTCCTCCTTAAAAAGTAGTAGTGCCCTTCATCCTTTACATACAAAATATTAACCTAAGTTTCTTACTTAAATTGTAACTTTGGCTCTTGCCCATATATCTAGCCATTCCTTCTTCCTCTGTACCACATGCACTAGCTGTCCTGGAAGCTCCCTCCCACGCTCCTGCCTGTGCTTATGCTGATCCGCACTGCCTGCAAGGCCCTCCCGCCTGCAAGTCACTGTCTGAAGTTCTGTTCATCCTTCAGTTGTCGCCGTATCAAGAGCTTTCCCTTATAGAACAGCACTCCATCACTCTGCCCCTTACCCCGCCGTACTTTCCTTCATAACACTTACCACATATTAGAGTTCTTTATTTTAGTGCCTGCGGCCCAGCTATAGAGTATAAACTTCTAAAAAGAGAGTCAGACACACATGTGTGTGCTCACTAATATTTGATGAATTAATTGAATTTAATCCTTCCAATACCATTGGATCTCATTTTTTACTTGAGAGAAACAGTGTTGCCCTCTTAGAGCAGTATCACAGTCTAGCTCTTGGCCGGTAGCTCAGTTGGTTAGAGCATCGTCTCAAAATGCCAAGGCTATAGGTTTGAGTCCCAGTCAGGGCACATATAAGAATCAAGCAATGAACTGCATAAATAAATGGGATAACAAATCAATGTTTTCTCTCTCTCTCCCTCTTTCTCTAAAATCAACCAATAAATAAAAAAAGATCACAGTCATTAGGGGTGTGTGTGTGTGTATTTCAACCCCACTAGACTGAATGGACTGTGGTTTACTCATATTTTTATCTCTTTTAGCACGGAATGAACACTCAATGAATGGATATTGAATTGAGCTAAATTAAACGTGACTAAAGATCACCAAACAATTAAAGCCTTCGCCAATCTACTGAACTAGATTATCTTCAGTATAGTACAAAAGAAGAAAATGGGAATAATTAAAACTTCAAATGATCTTCAGTTTGCGCACCTAGGAATCTAAAAGAGAAATTCTTGACCCAGAGAAGTCCTGGAATAGCCAGCATGTTCCCTTGTTAGGAACCACCACTTGTCAGCGCTAACGCTCTCTATTATTTTCTTTTCTTTCTACTTCACTGGCTGAGTTGGTTTTGAGTTTCTGATGTGCTCTTTTTCTGATCCTCCCACAAAGATCCCCATCCAGGCCACAGTGAATTTCAGAGTAAATTAAAATCTTGAGGTGATGTAAACACTTTTATAAAATTCCTTCAGGCTTTTAAGAAGCTAAATTACTTTCTGGCGCGCATGTGTGTGTGTGTGTGTGTGTGTGTGTGTGTGTGTACACACATGTGTGTTTTGTTTTTCAGGGTCAGGGATTTCCTTTCAAGTTGAAAATTTTATGTTAGCTTAAGACTTACTTTTACTAGTCAAGCATTCAGTTGAACTCTATGTAACTGGTGCATAGTATAAAATTGCAAAAATTGGAGGATAAGATGATGCCCAGTAGATCATTTGGACTGCTTAGATAAGTCTAAAGAGTCTTCAATAGAACAAACATTCATTTTTCTGTGACCAAATTAAAACAAAAACAGAAACATAAGGCTCTGATTCTACAGTGACACAAATAGCTTTATTTATTTACTTATGCACTCAACAGACATTTATGAGCACCAACTACACACAAAGCGCAGAGGGAGTCTAACGTGCCAGAAGACATGGTCTCTCTCTTTGGTAACCTTACATTCCCCTACCAAATGTTTTCTTTTTCACAGCAAGTGAGTTTTATATGGAACATCTTCATTTTCCTTTTTTAAGATTATTAACTGATTGTGTTTTCAGAACTCGGATGCTACAGAGATCTAATATTAATAAAGAGGCCACTGCCCTCTAGGATGTGAGTGATTTTGAAAGTCCCCTCCCCCACTAAAATTCTGTGACTCAATGAATATTGAACCCACTAATAAAGATGAATGGGAACATGATATTGCAAGCCTTTATGAAATTGTGTAAAGAAACAATACTGTTCGGAGATACCAGGGAGTGGAATTTGTTATCTGGCACCTTCATAAATATTGATGATTTTAACTTCGTTTGGTGAAGACAACTTTCATGGTAAGCAGATTTAAAAATCCTGAGTGTCTTCTGTGCTGCAAATCAGAGGGTTCAGTACTCAGGATAAATTGCCTGTTGTTCATACTGTCCAAACCAATTCTCAAACTTGCATTTATAACAGAGAATGAAATTCCCTTAGATCAAAAATCAATCCCATGCTGTATGAAAGTTATATCTCAAATTTAAAAATATTCCATTTAAAATATATTTTTATACAATTTTATTAAACCAACTGATCTTCAATCAAATGTCTAATTTTAATAGCTTACTTAAGCAACTGTATATTGCTGATATATGTGCAGAGTTTAGAAGAAATGGGGGCAAAGCCCTTGCCCGTAAATATCATTCATATTTTTCTGTTTAAAAACACAACAATATAAAGTACCTAAGTCTAAACCTCAAGGCAAAGTCTGCAGCATTGTCAGTCAGTAATCAAATGTTTCCCATGCAAAAGAAATCTGCCACTATGTACTTTTCCCTAAGAGAGTGAATACCTTCGGCAAACCTGTTGTCCCAGATGTGTAAAGAATATATAGCGGATGTTCTGAAAGAACAGGAACACAGTCATGTGACTGTGCTTTTGCCATCTCTTCATCCCAATCAAGGTCACGACCCGGAGCCAAAGGAACTGTCCCCTGCAGAGCAAACATTGGGGTATACACAGTGAACAGAGGAGATTAAATTCGGAGAACAATGTTAGTCTGAGCATCTGACTTACAATTTAGGCTACTTATACAGCATTAAATATCAGATTTATAAATATCTCAGATAAACGTTCATAAAAATTCCAACAGTTTGACATTGGCTTCAACTGAACTGAAAATCTGGACCTCTCCTTAAGAAACTCAACGTGATGCTGTTATGGTTTCATCAACAGTCAGAGCTTAACTCAGAGGTTCATGTTTTCATAAATGTACATACACTATTAACTTTATAAACTCATTTCTTCTTTTTTGTAACCAATTTCTTTCACAGGAACTATCCTTTTTACAATCAAATGTCAACTAACCCATTAAAATTTCTCTCTATACAAGGGCCATTTAGGAATAATATGGTGGCCATCTTTCCAAATAAAATAATTTTAAATCATTTTCCAGAGTGGAAGGAAAATCTACTTTTGCTTTTTCAAGGAAAATTCATTTTGGAAATTAATGAAAGTATGTGTGATATCTAAAATGCTGCCCAAGTTTCCCTCCATCTAGGCCATTGATAGGGTATAAATGCTTGGAGTTTTGTTTTGTTCATAGAACCAAGTTCTGTGTCATAAATTTTATGACACCAGAGTCATGAGTTAGACAGACACACCTTAAAGGAAGGTAGACAGACCTCTTACAACTTGTACCTGTGAAATAGGCCAGACAAGGGAAGAGAAAGGCAGTGGTTTATGGGAAAATTTCTCTAAGGGAGAGTAACATCTATTTAATAGAGTGAAGACCCAGTACATGTCTAGTTATTTTCTGAAATGATGACTAAGCTCAAGGTGACACTTTAGAAAGCTTATAGTTGTGAACTTGTTAGCATAGGCACAAGGCTACATGTTCCTCAGTGAAAGTTAGTAAGATTTACCACCTAGACAGTATAGGTAACCATTCATCCATCAAGGTAAAGCTAAGCCCAGAGACTCTGAGAGGTTTACAAAAGCCAGGTCATTGTTATTTGTCAGGCTCTTTAATGTATTGATCAGGGCTATAAAAAAATGGTCATATTTTTCAATGTGTACTTTTGTAAATTAACATTTCAATGTAACATCACAAGTTCAAGGCCTGTATGAATACACACAGTGATCGATAATAATCGGAGTAACTTTCATGAAGGTGAACTTGTAGGCATCTCCAGCCTCACTTTGACGAGCTCTAGATATGCCACTTAGGTAAATGAAAATAGTTAACTATGACCAAATTGTATATTTTTATTTGTTTTTATGCATCAGACAAACATAAAAATTACAAATGATCAAGCCTTGACATCATATTACAGACCTATAAAAAATCATCACAGACTTATGATGAGCGTGTTTCCTGAGCAGCATGACATGATGGTCAACTGAATACTCTGAAGTCCAGGCAATAAATAAATAAATAAATAAATAAATATCATCACACTGCACAATTAAAAATGTCAATTGAGTCATCACAAAAGTAATTATAGATTAAGTGAAATGTGGACTTGAATGAATGGTTATTCTTCAGGCTAAGAAATATAAGCATGTGTGTAAAGAAGATTCGATGAAAGGAAGAGAGGGAAAATAGCTTTTACATATACACATTTACTTCGATAGTCATGTCCTCTCTGGTTGTTATCATTCTTAAAAGGCAATAATTGGAACAGCACTGGAGCTGACTGAGGTGATATTCTCTTGATTTGCTTGCCTGAAGTTTAGGAATAGCAGCCAGGTTTTTGCCTCCTCTGGCAAAAATGCAAATCTGGTTAATGAAAGACTTCACTTAGCTTCAATTTGTGTCTCTATAAAGTCAAAGCAAAGCCAGTCCATTGGGCTTAATTACTGCCTGCACAGCAGTTCTAACATGAAGGACAAGAGACATCCAAAGCCCTCATGTGTAAAATAAAAATATGTCAAAACAGAAGGAAGGGTATTTAAAAAAAGGAACAGGGAGAGAGTGAGAGTCATATATGGAAGGGGAAAGGGTGAATGTATCTCTACGTATTAAGAGGAAAGAGAAGATATTTGCATTAGAAAAATCTGAATAGTAAACATTCATATCCATACCACCCTGTTATAAAGTAAAAGAAATGTGTTGGTTAAGTCATTTAACTGAAGGTCAAATCTTGACTCCAGCATGTACTAGGTATGACTTTTACTTATGATTTCTCAATGCCTTGTTTTGTTTTTTTTTTGAACAGATAGAGTGGGAGGGAGAGAGAGGAAGGGAGAGAGAGAGAGAAACATCGATGTGAAGGGACACATTGAGTGGCTGCCACCCGCACGACCAACCAGGGCCGGGGACAAACTGCAACCGAAGTACGTGCCCTTAGCGGGAACCGAACCCGGGTCTCTCCGGACTGCAAATGCCTTGTTTTTTTCATCTGCAAAATGGAACCAGGAATAGCATCTACTTTATGGGTTTATGAAAATTAAATAAAAAAGGTATTTGAAAGTTTTTAGCATCAGGCCTGGTAAAAGTTCTTCATAAATTCTACATGAATTCATACACACACATATCCACATAAACACGTGTTTGTGAGTGTGTGTGTGTGTGTGTGTGTGTGTGTGTGTGTGTGGTCCCACCCTTCTCTAACCCTCTCCCACCCAAAACCTTCTTTATTGCTGACTTTGCACTCCCTGACTTAAGAACAACAAACCCTTTTCAAAAATATGCTTGAGGTAATCTAAAAGAAACTCAAAATTCTTTTTTTGAGATAGTAAGAATATTAAAATCATTGAGTGCAGCAGTTCATGAACCCCAGACAACTAAAACTTAACACGGGAATTTAATGTGGTGATGGAAATTGCTAGGTGGTGATCAAAATGACATAGTTTTAATGTTCTCTGTTCTTTTATCTTGTCATTTAAGCATTTTCTGCAGCTAAGCTCTCAAGAATTCCACAAAATTATACATGATTATTTCCACTCTTGTAATTTTTCTTCTGCAAAAAAATCTTAATCTGCTAGAAACTCAAGTTGGTTCTACTATAAATACATGGATACTTACTTGAGTGCAGAAAGAAGGTGATAATTAGGTCCAATTTACTAGAGAAAGCAATTGTAAAATATGTTCATTGATGTATTATACTGCTTTTTCTTCCTTTATGGATCACAGAATATGTATCTGTTTAGAATATTCAAAGTTTGTTTTCCTGAACATAGTTTTTACTTCTGGACTACATATCTTTCCTGAAGTCTTTAAAAGGTATTTCCGTACAAGTTAATCACACCTTTCCACGAGGCAGGGTAGCTCAGGGATGAAGCAGGCAGGCAGAGTGCGTGCACTCAGATCCTGACCCTGACTCGCTGCGCAAGCTTCTCTCCGTTCATCAGACTCCTTTTCCCTAAAATAAGAGTAACACTATCACCTAGATCACAGAGTTATCCAGATGATTTTCTTTGAAGTGATCCACTAATGGAGTGTCTTAAAAATCGTATGGTAGGAAGTCAGTAAGTGTTTGCTAGTACTATTATTATTATGATGATGCAAATTAATAAATGGCATCACAGTAGACTATCCACAGAATCCAACTCATTAATATTGTGGCTATTTCTGTGTTTCTATCTTTTTGTTTTAAGCTAGTATTTTTTTTTTTTTATAAAGAGAGAAAATACCATTCATATTTAATATCTTTTTTTTTCCCCCAAAACTCTGACATTTGGGAAGTACATTTAATGGTTCATAAATTAAGGGTTTGTGTTAAATTGTCAAAACTAGAATCATCCTTAGCCCATCACTATAAGCAAGAACCAAGTTCAATACTCAGATTACCATATTCGGACGATTATAAATGAGAACTTTATCTGGTCTGTGCTGTCCTATTCTGAGCGCTTCTTCTAGAAGTGGCATGTATTCTACCTTCTTTCCAGGTTCAATGCCAAATGATGCTGTGACAACCACCTTGGGCTACAATTTAAAAAAGAAAAAAGAGTTAGAAAGTTTAACAAACCTAATTAAGGTAATCACAGTATTTCAGGTGCTGACAAGCAGTTTAACATTTCTAAAGAAATGTTTGAATAGTTCTGTTCTCTATTGAATAAAGGACCTGAAGACCAATAAGCCCCTTCAAAGTGTTACAAACCTAACCACTTCCACATAAATCTCACTTGCCTGTCCAAAATTACACATTAACATGCTTTTGGCTAATAAGTATGAGCTGCTAAAAAATACTTTTCAAAGAATTCATGTAGCTGGTAGATTTGCTGTGAACCAATAAAATGTAAGTCCAGGGGCCCCTCACTTGCGGAGGCCCCAGAACAGTTGCTGTTGCTGAAGTTGGAGCGTTTTCTTGGGGTTGTGGTGGGGAAGGTAAGGACCAGCCCATTTGCTATCAGGAAGCAACTTTGAGGTTTTTCATGTAAGCGTCTCTGCTTAAATGCTTAGAAACCACAGAAGGAAGGAACCCGAATCTCTGATCATTCTTGTATGATTTTTTTTTCATTCTAAATACATATTCATTTTCAATGAAGATTTGTAATTTTGTCATATTTTTTTTCTTAAAAAGGGTCCCCAAATGGTTTAGATCGCAAGCCCTCCAAAACCTAAACCCGCCTCTGTCATGAAGACACACTTGGCACTTTCCTTTACCTGACAACTTGTTCATTATTCAAGATGTACAAAAATGAAGTCAAAAGACATCCCCGAAAGGGGCTGAAGAAGTTAGGGCTCATCTCCCTTCCTCGGTACACTCTGGGCAAGCCTCGGATGCCTGACTGTCGTCGATGTTCCTTCCTCCGCACCTGCACAGAAGTTCTCCCAGGCTGCACATGGGTTCTAGTCATCTTCCTGTCTCCTAGGCAGGTACAATGCTTGCCATACCATAAGCTCTCACTAAGGATTTGTGGAGCTGAACCAAAATTCTCCTTCATTTGCAAAAACAAATGTGTCATTATTCTTTTAAGTACACTATTTCTTCACCAAGAAATCCATAGAAAAGGAAACGGATAATACATTATTCAGGAGATAGGTAATCAATCCGAGATAGTGCATCTATTCCTGAATTCTGATTTCTGGTTACAATACATTTCATCTAGAGAAGGTTTATATTATGCCAAATATATGCATCTGTAGTACTTTCTGCTTTTTGAATATCATTTAATATTCATGGAGCTGAGGCTTCATGCAGTTACATCCCTTGCCCCAGGTTACAAGTGGTGAAATGAGAGAGGCTCTTTCTGTCTGATTACAGAAACTTTCTCTTTCTAGTCTATCAAGCTGCCTTTTAAAAGGGGTGGGGAGGAGAAAAGAATAAAAAAGTAAGCCTTGTTTCCTTTGATTATATTTTTAAAGGTCATACATTTGAATATAATTCACATTTTAATATCTGTAATACTTACAAAAATAACTCTATATAACATTTCCTAAGATTAGAATTCTGAATAAATAAAAGTTACTTATCAAATTAAAAGCATCTAGAACATATCAAAACTTGGATAATTTAATAAAGTCAGAATTAGACTCTCCCCCTACAGAAATAAACCCTTTTCACATTTCTATTGGCCTTTTACTGGAAGTTTTGAGGCAGGATAGTAAGAAGCTAAGGAAATTCCTTGAGAGTGGAATGGAGAAACTGAGGCAGATAGCTGAACCAACTAGCCGAGCAATTAACAGCCAGATAATAAATTGCAAGGTCTTATCTTATACATTACAGACTGTGCTGAGGCGGACGTTACCTGGGCCCTCTTCGTGACATCCTTTGAAGGTGAAACTGACCAGAAAATGGCCCTGATACACTCATTTTGACGAATCAGCACATTTTAGGACACACCTGGAAAGCTGTTGAATATTCTATTCAGATCATCCTGAGACAGCCCCTAAAATTCTTGCCTTTAGAAACAGATTTTAAAGAACCCTTAAAACAAAGGATCCAGTGGGTGCTCTCTTTCTTGAGCGTGCCCGCACCTTCTTTCTTCAGACAGGTATCTTTGCTTTCTATCTCCTAAGCTCTAAGGGTCCCCACAAGACTTGCAACCAGTGGGGCGGTGGGCAGCGGCAGCTTGTCCCAGGCTAACCCTCCGAACTTGTCTCTAAGGGCTCTTCTTTTGCCTTTGTAACATGTTTCCTGAGTCCACACAGCCCAGCTGGCTCACTTCTGTGGCCTCTGTGATTTTCTTTCCAAAAGACCAAGGCAGCTCTCTGAGCAGCCCACTCAAGTCTTCTCTTGGAGAGTGCCTTTGCTTTGCATGCTAAATCAACTTCCTCTTGCACTAGAGTTCTTGGCTCTGAATTCTTTCTTTGCCAAACTCAAGAACTGAGAGCTGACATCACTGTTTGGTCTCAATTGACTTCTTACATTATATTCTTCTTATCTTCTGTTAAAATAAAACTTTTCATTCGACCTATTTATTTGAAAATAGTGATTTCAACTATTAATTGTATCCAAATATCTCAGATATACATCTCTTTCTCCATCATCTTGCCTTTAATTTGATGTGATTAAAGGTCCTGCCCCCAAAAGAAGGCATTTATTACCCAAACTCCTTAAAAATGTTGAATGTGTGTGTTAGATGAAAACTCCTCCACTGATACATCATAAGTTTTATAAATACTTATTTTTTAAATAGCTCAATTTCCCCACAGCACATAAAATTTTACAAAAAGGAAAGAATACATCTCATACCTTTATCCAAATGATGTTTAGATTTCTGCAGGTAAAAAACTGGAGTCTATGCCTTCCTCAGAGAGGTCCCCACTGCCCACTGATTTGCAGGTCAATGATTGACTGATATTTCCCCCTAGATTTCTGTTCAAAAGCACTAACTCAACATGTTAGAAGGAGAGAGAGAAAGAGAGAAATCCAGCCAGTTAGTCCACAAACCAGCTTCTAGTTCTAATAAATAATCTATTCCAAATGAAGTCAGACATGCAAAACCTCACTAAATGCCTAGCACTCAGGAAACCTTCAATGTATATTAGTTCCCTTCCTTGTTAAGAATGTCTCCTGAAATGGGGGAGAAAAAAATAAAAAAGAATGTTTCATTGTGGATTTATAAAACTTGTAACGGCAATCATCTCTTACTTTTTTTTTTTTTTTAAGAATAGTCTATTGATGTTGAGACAGAGAGAAAGGGAGAGGGAGAGAGACAGAGAGAAACATCAATGTGAGAGTGAAATGTCGATTGGCTGCCTCCAGCCTGCTCCACACTGGAGATCGAGCCTATAATCCAGGCATGTGCTCTTCACTGGGAATTGAACTGACAACCTCTGAGTGCATGAGACAACACCCAACCAGCTGCACCACACCAGCCGGAGTAATCATCTCACTCTTACAACAACCTTCCTTCCTCCATCTTTATTCTCCTACACATGGCCCATTGCTTCGCAAGCAGACCACCTACCAGAGGGTCTTATTCCAGCCTCTAGCCTCTGACCCACTCACAACATATTGAAAGACTTGCCTCCTCTTAACCTCTTAACACTGCTTAAAATATGACACTCATCTGTTCAGAAACTTTGACTGCTCAAGGTCTATAGGATCCAGTTCAGACATAAACTCCTTTGCAAAGTCATCTTCTGGCTCTCTACAGTCACATCTGTCTATTCATTGGCCTCCAAATGAATTTTAACCTTTCTTACCTCTAATGCTAAACTTACGTTGTTTTTCTCTCCTTTTGAATCCCACAATGCCATTCTCTTCAATGAGCTGAATTTTAGCCAAGTTCTAACTATAATCTCATATCCTTGGCCACCCAACTAAAAGAAATCTCTCCTTCCTCTAAATCAGGGGTCTGCAAACCATGGTTGAAAGCCACACCCTGCCCAAGGCATGTTTCTACGTGGTTTCACTGGGACACTGCCGTGGCCTTTGTTCATGGAGCATCAAGGCCGCCTTTGCGCTGCAACAGAAACCATGCAGCCCACAATGCTTGAAACACTATCTGGTGACGTACGAAAAATTATTTTCTGTTCCCTACTCTAAATTCATAGAATGATAATACCTAACCTTTTTTTTTTTTTTTTTAATGAGTCCTCCATGCCAGGCACTCCATTAAGTGTTTTAAATTGAATATCTCAACGATATTTCATAACAACCTTATCAACTTTATTTTAGAATCTCATTTAAACACGTGATTCCACTCCTCACTGACACCCTCTTCACCTCTGTACTATTCCACCATTCCTGGAATCGTGTAGATAATAAAACTCGTTAGATGTCCCCCCACACCCCCATTTGATGAGTATTATTTATTAGCCCATTCCAAGGATAGTACCAGGAACATAATGGGGGCTTAATAAATCTATGTTGAATAAATAAAGTAGTTATTAGTTATTTTACCAGTCTTATACACCCAAATACATGGAAGGCTAACTTACATTTTATATTCCTCACAGCACCTAGCAAAGTGCCTTTCACATGGGACTGACTCAAAAATAAAATTTTGGTTAATAGATATATGTTAAAGAGAAAATATACTTTAAGTGTTTATTTGGAAGGAGCTAATAAGTACGGATCACTCTTGGAGGATCTAATAAGTATGGATCACTCTTGGAGGATCTAATAAGTACGGATCACTCTTGGTTGATTCATCCACAGATATGGCTGCACTATATACATACTACTGCTTGATTTCTCCAAATAAAGTACTTACCTTTGCATGGTCAATGCGGGTACTTAGTTCTTTGGATGCAAATCCTCCAAATATGAGACTGTGGATGGCTCCTATCCTTGCACATGCCAGCATGGTATATATCGCCTGTGGGATCATGGGCATGTAGATGACCACAGTGTCACCTTTCTTGACACCATGCTTGACTAACACACCAGCCAGCTTAGAGACCTACAACAAAATCATTATATCAGCAAAGTGTTTTCTGTGTTGTTTCACTAAAATGTTAAGTCAGTAATGCAAGAAGGTGATCACCGTCTTGGTAGTGAATTAAAGAAGCCTGAGTAACACATGTTTGATAATGATGATGATAAGGGTTTAGACAGTGACAATAATAACAGACATCTGTATTATAATCATGGACTACAAACCAGCTTACTATTATTATACCATACAAACATCATAGCTTAAATTTGCCTAATAACTCATTCAACAACATATTTACTGAGCAACTATTACATGTCATACACTGTGTTTAGAGTTGGAACACTACATTGAAAAATGAAGGCAGACATGTCTCTGTGAAATTTTTATTCTAAAGGGTGAATCCATCACATGAACAGAAAAATAAAACGATTATACATTGGATATATGTTGGGTTAACTGTTGAAGAAAAAAGTAGGTATTTCGAAAAAAATATTAATACACACTTATATGGTAGAAAGACAGTCTATTATTATTATTCCTATTTTAAAGATGAAGTAACTGAGGCTCAGAGATAATAAATAGCTAACCACAGGTGAGAGAGCTAGAAACTGGTGTAGCCAAGGTACCATCACAGTTCTTTCAGCTTCGGGTTCTTTGCCCTTTCTACCACCTCAGGTCAATTATATTTTTTCTTTACAGTTTTTATGCTAATTATCTATACAAAGTGACTGCCCTCTATATTGAGACCAAACATACAAACTTATTTTTACTTTTAACATATGTTTTGGAGAACAAACATACAAATGTGTTTATTCTCTTAACATGTATTTCTTGCAATTTCTAGTAATAAAGACAAAATAAATCATAAGCCTACACACATGCTATAATTTATTGCAAGAAACCTTTCCATGGGTAATTATAACCGACTGTGGGACGTATGCCCAGACCTAAGTGAATAAGACATTCCCCCTCTATTCATTAAAAAAATATGTATATGTACATATATATGTGTATATATATATGTGTGTGTGTGTGTGTGTATGTGTGTGTGTGTGTGTGTGTGTATAAAGTACTGTATATGCCAGACACTGTTTTCTGAAACATCAGTAAAAGAATAAGATAAAGCCCCTATCTTCAGAGTGCTTGTGCTTTATCAAAGAAAATATTTATAATGCACATAAGTAAATTATGCATTATGTTAAAGGTAATTAGTGCTATTGAGTAGGGGGGAGTAGAGCAAAGTAGAGGGATTAGAAGTACAGGGGATATAATTCTCAATGGGGTGAACAGCACAGACCTCACTAATAATGTGACATTTTAGCAAAGACATGTAGCAGGTTGAGAATGAGTGGGTATCGGTGAGTCTACTATTTCAGGCAAAGAAAGCAGCAGTACAAAAGTGTAAGGGGGATCCTATATGATGTGAAAAGGAAATGGTGGAGAGACTAGGGGATCTAGAACAGAAAAAAAAAAACAAGTTAAAATATGGTTTTAGGTCAGGTCAGAGAGCTAAAGGGCCTGTAGCAGGTAATAGGCTGTTCGAGATAATAAACAGAGAAAGCCAGAGAGAAGGAATCAGGCCACACAGCTATTTGTAGTTCCTTTCATTTCACTCTGCATCTCCTGCTTTTTGTACACATTTAAAGGATCTGAATCCTGATCATTCTTATTATTTTTTTCTCTTGATTCAATTCCTCTGTGCAGCTTAGAGAGGTAGTCAAGGTTAAGAATGCGAGTGAAAAAAAGTAACAACTGGCCAGGTGTTTTCGTCTCCCTATATTGTAAACTATAATTTAGTGTTACTTCTTAAGAACTCAGAGCTGCCCTGTGTTAAGTTACAAGGAAGACACATCAAAGTAATATAAATTATGAACTTAAATTCTATAGGGAGTTCAGAACCAAGATAAATACTGGAAAGTCATATCCAAACACCTGAGTGCAATCTCTTCAGAAAGTGGCCCTGCTTCGTGGTCACATTACTGGGTATCCCATTGTAGGTACGGCAGAGGGTGAGGCCAATGAGAAGAGTATCCTATTTACAGCTATAACCTCCGCGTCTCGATACTGTGTGTTCGTGAATAAAAAATAATCTTCGACAAGACCCAAGCTAGCAATAATTCAGTAACTTTATATTCAGTCCTACTTCATTCACAACGTTGCTGAAAGATGCCAAATTCTTTTCTGTCCTCTAAAACAGATAAAATGAATAAATTCAAGACCTCTTTTGAACGAAAGATCTCAAAATGGTTAAAGGTCACTCTAAAATGTATTTAAGGTAGGGTCATATGGCAACTTTTTAAAAAAATGAGCCAACATATTAAAACTAGATGGTTCCATATACAAATCCAGCTTCCTAGTTTTTGTAAACTGAAAGGCTTTTCAAGAACACAGCACTGGGTTTGTATTCTTAAATGACAACAACCAACTGAACCTGATAATAATCGCTAGCTGCTTAGTTGACATACAACTCGCCTTTATCACAGAGTTTGCATTTTTCTTTCTATTCTGAATTTAAGACATATTATTCTACATCCTGTTTATGTTATGTGCTTACACCATAGTTCCACAACCACAGAATAAGATATATGCCATTAATTTATTTTTCTCCCAACCACTTCTTCCATTTATATTATCTGCTTGGCTCCTGTAAGCATCTGAGTTATTAACCAGGGCCCTGGAGACAACCTTGTCAATTTAGGCTGCACTAGATCTAGAAAACCACTAGATGGCGGAAATTAGGCCTAGTTTACCTTGCTTCTTGCAGATGCTCCTAAATATTTTGATACTTGGCTAACCACACCACAGATGTGCTAAAGACAAAAGTTTTATATGATCAATGGAGGACATTTATTTGGTAGCACTTTCTAGGGCTAAATGTCACTCCAGTAAAATTACCCATTGTATCTCCTAAATTATGTATACATATTAGAAAATGTATGGGAAAAAATGTTTCTGATGATACTTCTAATAAATAGGCTTATGAAAAACAAAACATTAGCGTACAGCAAGAAAAAAATAAATGGAAATTGATTTAATATTAAAATATTTAATGTTTCATTACAATATTCCTTATGAATATTAAATCTAGAGTTGGTTAATATGAGAGCCCAAGAGCAGAATACTTAATAGTACACCACTAAATTTGGTTTTCATTCTGACATCAAAGATAACGCATATGCTGTGCAGTCAAGGCCAGGCCATGCCACTCTGCCGGGGGGAGGATGACTGAGCTGTGAAGGAAGCTGGAGAAACAAAGCAAATGTGTATATTCATTTAGGTGGATGCAACACTGTTTGCTTCTTTTCACTAATGAGTATATGAAGTATCCTGTCATGGATTCCATTTTTTATGTAGTATCTGCTATGTGTCCTATAGGAAGTCAAGTCTGCAGATGCAAAAATAAAGAAGACATAATCCCCAAAGCCAAGAAATTCAGAGTCCAGGAAAAAAATAATGTGGCCAAAAAAAGGAGGCGCATACTAAACATGATCGGCTCTGCGGAGGCCTCAGGGGGGACTTACAAACTCAGAGACCTAAAGTAACCTCATAGGATGGTCTAAAACTAACACTTCCTAACTAAAAGCAGTCAAGCTTTTATCTTAGGCTGGTATCTTTCTTGACAAAGGTCAATCTTTACTTTAACTGAACCTGTCTATGGTCTTTTTACATCTATGATAACACACCTTTGAAGTGCCAGAGTAATGTCCTTCTTTCCAAACCCTTCAAGGCACAATCTCCCACCAAAGCAGGAGACCACAGAACCTCTCATTGTTACCTTGTTCCCCTCATACCATCTCTATCTGCTATAAATGCTCATTGTTTTCTATGCTGTCTCCACCAATGTGAAGGAAGTATGAGTATTTCCGTTTTATGTTTTATCCAGTCTCAGACATGTCCCCGCTTTGTGTTCTCCTACCTCCCTCATCTGCCACCAGTGGACTTCCTGGAGCCCTCCTTGGGCCTCCTCCTTTGATTCTGATGTATAAAATAAGGAGTGAAACTGCCATTCTGGGGGGCATTTCTCAATCCTTTGAAATCTTGCTTCTTGGCAGTTGTCATCAGTTTGGCTCAAATAAACTCATAAACATTCTTATAGGTTTGGATGTTTCTTACACTGACAATAGCAGACATAAATATAATAATGACAGAATAAGACAATGTAACAATAAATATTCATGTAATGGAAAATGGTATACATATATATTTGGTTTAGATACAAAGTACAACTTTAAATTTTAGAATAATAAAGTGAAAACATACTGGTATAAATAATGAAAAGGATTTCAATAGATTTTTATTTATTCATTCTGCAAAATCGCCATTCAAAAGCAGTCTGTGGGTTAGTATAATTTCATGAGCAAATGTCCATAACACAAACACAAACATTAGTGGAAACAGACCAAAGACTATGTTCTATAGAGAATATTAGCACTTGCTTCACAAACAGCAAATGTGTCCTTTGAAAGAAAATTGTTTGTATGACGAAGATCATGTTGGTGTCCAAATTATAGTAAACAGACAACAATGATGGGCAACCTCAGAGCCATGTCAAAGAAAACTATATGAAAGAGAAGAAAGAGAACACATATTTTCAAGCTGCAATGATGTCACGCTGCAAACCCTGGTCTAATCACGGGAAAAAGGACGATTTAAAAATCAATAATAATATCTGAGAAAAGAATTTACTAAAATTAGGGATAAATGACCCGTTCTTCAGAAGTATAGAATTTTCCATAAAAAGAGATTATTACCTAAAATACCTGCATTTTACTTTTAAATATATTAAGTTAATCATGTCTTTATGTATACACAGGCACATCATATCACGTTTTGGTTTTCCCACTTGGATACACATACAGAACTATCAAAAAGACAAAAATTTATAGCGAAGCTTCTAGAAAAGTAACTTTTAGAGACAGTGACCATTTATTGGGGATGACAGTGAGATCATTTTTATTTAAATATGATACTATACTAAGTAATTCAATTGTGAGATAAGCTGTTCAACAGCAGAAAAGTAGAGT